TATAATAGCAACAAGGGAGACAGTGCGCAGCTGTGGATCAGGGTCCCCAAACCTCTTAAGCCAGCTGAATCAGAACTGAAATTAGAATATCTACCAGGACTGAATTTGGGATTTAGACCTCATTTAATAATTATGTATCACCTTTAGAATGACTACTGTGCACAGAAGATAGCCCTCAGAGGTGCGTCTCTCCTTCTACCTTTTTTTTTTTTTTTTTTTTTTTTTTTTTTTTAAAGATTTATTTATTTATTATGTATACAGTTTTCCATCTGCACATATCCCTGCAGGCCAGAAGAGGGCACCAGATCTCATTACAGATGGTTGTGAGCCACCATGTGGTTGCTGGGAATTGAACTCAGGACCTTTGGAAGAGCAAGCAGTGCTCTTAACCTCTGAGCCATCTCTCCAGCCCCCTCTCCTTCTACCTTTATGGGTGTTTTATAGTTCAAACTTAGGTGGCACCTGAGCTCTTTCCTGCTGAGTCATCTGGCCAGCTCTGCATGCTTTAGAAACCAGTGCTTATAGGTTAGGTTAGCTGTGCAGCTGCCTCTGGACTTCCTACCCCATTTACGGCTTATTCTAGCCAAACCTGTAGCACGCAAGTGTGCATGCCACAAATGTGGCACTCACCTAGTCCACAGAGTTGACCCCAAACACAGGGGGACCAACAACTGGAGTATCCGATCAAGGAGTAGTGGCTACCCTAGGCCAGTTATAAAGTTGTACAGTCTTTGGCCAGCATCCTACTCACAGGGTGTCTTACCTATAAGGGACCTTGGGAATCACTTACTCCATTTCCTCTGACTGATGAGTAAACCAAGGCCTGAGAAAAAGTGAGTTCCATAGAGGAAGTATGTTACTGACAGAGGCAGGGGCAGAGAGCCCCATCCCAACCCCTCATCTCTTTCTAAAACTGCCAATCTGTGGTTGGAGCCATGTGTGGCTACTTATATTTAAATGCCTTTAAGTCAAGTTCGAAATTCAGTTTCTCTGTCACAGTAGGCACTGTTGGAGTGCTCAAGAGCCACACGTGGCTAGCAGCTGTCACCCTAGTGGACAGTGCAGACAGAGACCGTGTCCTTCACTACAGAAGGCTCGATGGGTTACACACAATGGGGGCCGTATGGAGACCGCAGTGCCACAGATTAACCACACGGGGCTGTGATGGCATTAGGGACTCTCACTGTTTCTGACAAACTAGGATTTTATAAATGGAACAAGAGAAACAAAACCATGCAAACCAACTGAGATACTGCAGCCCCTCCCCCTAGGCCAAAAATGGGGCTAGAATCCTTGCTTAGAAACCCAGTCAAATGCAGACAAGAGTCTCTTTCAGGGACTGAAGGGTGGCTTGGCAGTCTTGAGGAGTTCAGTTCCCAGCACCCATGCCAGGTGGCTCACAACCACCTGGAACCCCAGTTCTGGGCACTGGTCTTTTTGTTTTGTGTTGTTTTGAGACAGGATCTTTATGTCATCCTAGCTGACCTGGAAGTCACTATGTAGACCAGACTGGCTTCAAACTCATAGAGATCGGCTTGTTGGAGTGCTGGGATGTGTACTACCATACCTCTTTTTCTTTTTTTAACCAGGAGTCTATTTCAAAGCTCTGGCAGATCAAAAGTATGGAGTTAAAGGGACCCACTTCTTATTCTTGGTAGGTCTAGGGAAGTGCATTTTAGGAGAATAACCCGGAGGAAGGAAGGCTAATCCGCATAGGACTGTCTGTATGGTGTACGTATGTATGTATGGTGTAGGTATGACTATACTATCGGTATGGTGTATGTATGTACGTATGGTGCAGGTATGACTATACTGTCAATATGGTGTATGTGTGTACGTATGGTGTAGGTATGACTATACTGTCAGTATGGTGTATGTATGTACGTATGGTGCAGGTATGACTATACTGTCGATATGGTGTATGTGTGTACGTATGGTGTAGGTATGACTATACTGTCGGTATGGTGTATGTATGTATGTATGTATGGTGTAGGTATGACTATACTGTCGGTATGGTGTATGTATGTACGTATGGTGTAGGTATGACTATACTGTCGGTATGGTGTATGTATGTATGTATGTATGTATGTATGGTGTAGGTATGACTATACTGTCGGTATGGTGTATGTATGTATGTATGGTGTAGGTATGACTATACTGTCAGTATGGTGTATGTATGTACGTATGGTGTAGGTATGACTATACTGTCGGTATGGTGTATGTATGTATGTATGTATGGTGTAGGTATGACTATACTGTCGGTATGGTGTATGTATGTACGTATGGTGTAGGTATGACTATACTGTCGATATGGTGTATGTGTGTATGTATGGTGTAGGTATGACTATACTGTCGGTATGGTGTATGTATGTACGTATGGTATAGGTATGACTATACTGTCGGTATGGTGTATGTATGTATGTATGTATGTATGTATGGTGTAGGTATGACTATACTGTCGGTATGGTGTATGTATGTACGTATGGTGTAGGTATGACTATACTGTCGGTATGGTGTATGTATGTACGTATGGTGTAGGTATGACTATACTGTCGGTATGGTGTATGTATGTATGTATGTATGTATGTATGTATGGTGTAGGTATGACTATACTGTCGGTATGGTGTGTGTATGTATGTATGTATGGTGTAGGTATGACTATACTGTCAGTATGGTATATGTATGTACGTATGGTGTAGGTATGACTATACTGTCGGTATGGTGTATGTATATATGTATGTATGTATGGTGTAGGTATGACTATACTGTCGGTATGGTGTATGTATGTACGTATGGTGTAGGTATGACTATACTGTCGATATGGTGTATGTGTGTATGTATGGTGTAGGTATGACTATACTGTCGGTATGGTGTATGTATGTACGTATGGTATAGGTATGACTATACTGTCGGTATGGTGTATGTATGTATGTATGTATGTATGTATGTATGTATGGTGTAGGTATGACTATACTGTCGGTATGGTGTATGTATGTACGTATGGTGTAGGTATGACTATACTGTCGGTATGGTGTATGTATGTACGTATGGTGTAGGTATGACTATACTGTCAGTATGGTGTATGTATGTACGTATGGTGCAGGTATGACTATACTGTCGATATGGTGTATGTGTGTACGTATGGTGTAGGTATGACTATACTGTCAGTATGGTGTATGTATGTACGTATGGTGTAGGTATGACTATACTGTCGGTATGGTGTATGTATGTATGTATGTATGTATGGTGTAGGTATGACTATACTGTCGGTATGGTGTATGTATGTACGTATGATGCAGGTATGACTATACTGTCGATATGGTGTATGTGTGTATGTATGGTGTAGGTATGACTATACTGTCGGTATGGTGTATGTATGTACGTATGGTGTAGGTATGACTATACTGTCGGTATGGTGTATGTATGTATGTATGTATGTATGGTGTAGGTATGACTATACTGTCGGTATGGTGTATGTATGTACGTATGGTGTAGGTATGACTATACTGTCGGTATGGTGTATGTATGTATGTATGTATGTATGGTGTAGGTATGACTATACTGTCGGTATGGTGTATGTATGTACGTATGGTGTAGGTATGACTATACTGTCGGTATGGTGTATGTATGTACGTATGGTGTAGGTATGACTATACTGTCGGTATGGTGTATGTATGTATGTATGGTGTAGGTATGACTATACTGTCAGTATGGTGTATGTATGTACGTATGGTGTAGGTATGACTATACTGTCGGTATGGTGTATGTATGTATGTATGTATGTACGTATGGTGTAGGTATGACTATACTGTCGGTATGGTGTATGTATGTACGTATGGTGTAGGTATGACTATACTGTCGGTATGGTGTATGTATATATGTATGTATGTATGGTGTAGGTATGACTATACTGTCGGTATGGTGTATGTATGTACGTATGGTGTAGGTATGACTATACTGTCGGTATGGTGTATGTATGTATGTATGGTGTAGGTATGACTATACTGTCAGTATGGTGTATGTATGTACGTATGGTGTAGGTATGACTATACTGTCGGTATGGTGTATGTATGTATGTATGTATGTACGTATGGTGTAGGTATGACTATACTGTCGGTATGGTGTATGTATGTACGTATGGTGTAGGTATGACTATACTGTCGGTATGGTGTATGTATATATGTATGTATGTATGGTGTAGGTATGACTATACTGTCGGTATGGTGTATGTATGTACGTATGGTGTAGGTATGACTATACTGTCGGTATGGTGTATGTATGGTGTCGGTATGACTATACTGTCGGTATGGTGTATGTATGTATGTATGTATGTATGTATGTATGGTGTAGGTATGACTATACTGTCGGTATGGTGTATGTATGAGCATACCCTTTCTCCTCTTTGTAGATTTACATTGTAACAGCCAATGGGAACAGAATGAGTGTGTCCACTGCTAGGAGGCAGACCCTAAAGTAACCCAATGTGGATGAGTGTCCTTGTCTACTCTGGATTTAACAGAGAAGGTCAGAAGGTGAAGCAGGGTAAGAATTGTGGTTTTATCCCCAGAGGACCCCAGAGCAGGGCTCTGCTCCAACTCCGGCCTTTCCTTTGGATTGTGAGGTCCTATGACTGTTCATAGGTTCACATTTCCCTCAGACCTCCTTCATCTCCTCCAACCTTCAGGGAAGCCTCCACATCACCAACCTGCTCAGCAGTGGTTCGGGGCATATGAAATGGCGCAGTGAGGGAGGGGGCTGCCCCACAGCTGCTCCCTTGCAGAGAGCCAAGTTCTCCTGAGAGTTAACTGTGTGTCCAGGAGCTCTGGAAAGTGAGCAGACAGAAGCCATCACAGGGTGGGGTGGTAGGGAGGGCACACAGGTGTGACAGAGCAAAGCTGACTCTGGTGGGAACTGAGTGTGAAGAGTGAAGGGCTAGGTCTGTGATATAGGTCAAAAGGGGAACACACGGATGTGCACAAATGACTGCAGACAATCATGGCGACTTGGACCAAGTATGTGTAGAGATTTATTGATCAGCTTGTTTTAGAAAACCAACAGGGAACACTGACAAGGTACGTAAGTACAGACTGGACATTTCAGGGTAGATTTACTTGCTTGTAGGAAACCAGGGGAGGTGGAAAAGCGGTCCTGATCACATGGCATGCACACCAGACTGCAAAAGGACATCCACACTATTTCACAGGACTGTGGCAATAGCTTTAAAGTAAGGCAAGCACTGTGTACGGCCTCGCAACTGCAGGACGGACGAGCCAGCCTGGCCCAGCCTCAGAGCAGCTCCAAAGAGAGGCCTTCCTTCCTTTCTAGCCTATCCTCCAGTCTCTCCAGGGAGATGCCTGCACTCTCCCTGGAGACTCCACCAGTCAGTGTGCTCTCCGCTGCCTCCTTCTCTTCCCGCTGCTGCGGTGGAACTAGTACAACAGCAATCACTATACTTAGTGAAAGTGGCCTTGTCTCTGAAAACTGCCTCTGACTCGGCCTGTGCAGACTAAGCGGGGCCTTCAAAAAACTTCTCAAAAGTTTAAAAAAAATAACAACGTGGGAAGTACACCAAGAAGATGGCACTACCTTTGAAGCACAACTCAGAACTTCTGTTGAGGACACTAGACAAGGGGAGATTTTTTTTCTTCCAAATCTCACAGACTTAGAAGGGAGACTACGCATGGAGGTTCCAGACCCCCACCGAGCCCACTTCAGGCCCTGCCTATGCTTCCAGAGTTCTAAGGTACCCGGGGACCAATGGAATTTACACCTATGCTAACCAGTCACTGAAATGCATGGCTATAACAATAAACCCTCATTCACCCTGAAGCCCAACCCCGGAACACAAGGAAGGAGAAAAGGGAAAATGACTTTCTGTGCTACATCAGAGTGTAAGTGTCACATAAGACCACAGACCACCAAACTGGTTTTAGAGGTGACCAAACCAACACAGTCCACGAGGACAGTGCGCCCTTCCTGAACACCAGCCTATCAGACTGGAGAAGGTGACTCCAAAGGAAGAACCAGAAGAGCAAGCTTTGTCAAAAGCCAAAGAGATGTGTTCTGATGATGGCGTTTCCCGTTTCGGTGAGACACCGCCTTTTCTCCCCACAGGAACTGAGAGTTCTCTGGTCAGGAGGCAGCAGAGAACTCGGCAGCAGCAGACCATACTCAGGGCCCCACGCAGCCCAGGGAGACGCTATGGCTTCTCAGCAGCGCTCAGCAGCTCTGCACTGGCGTGGCGGCGGGCTCCAGGCCCTCTCTGAGCTGCCCGTCCTTTCTAACTACCAGTCCCTTGAAGAGGAGATGTCTGTGGGAGAGGACTAGAGAGGGAGATAAGTAAAGAAATGGTTGAACAGAAGAGTTGAAACCCTGATTTATCTGTGGATTTCAACTGTCTGTTGTGCTTTCATCGTGCTACTGTGGAGAACCAAAGGTCACTGTCTCATACTTTTTTAATCTAGAAATGTTAATATTTTCATTTTATATATATAGTTTTTAAATCTAGCTCTGTGCTGGACACGAATGCTATAAAGCAAGCATTTATATCAAGTCATTAGGCCCTGAAAGAAGATTCCTGCCAGTGCAAAGGGTTTGGTTTGCCTTGAAAAGCAGGCAGAGCTTCAATCTATTATATACTGGTTTGCAGTTTTTCTGTGAAGTGGGAAATACCTTATCGTGATGGAGGCATCATTTAATAAGGTATTAAATTCCCAGATAAATTAGTGTACATGTAGGAGAACTGTATTAATATTAGGTTTTAATTCTCCACTTGGGCAACACTTTCAAGTGGACTTCCTTATTCCTGGGCAAGACATGCAAACAGAAGATAATACAAACAGGAATGGGAAAAAAAAATATCTCAACTCTAATAAACCAAGGAACAGCAATTTTTTATGAACTAGAATAGGAAAACATGGACTTGAAAAAATCCAGCTTTACCAAAAGTTGGCTTATGATCACACTGAAAATCCTTGGCATACTTTTACTCTAAAGCAATAAGCTGACTTGCCCAAGACAAACGGTAGTGGAGCTCTCTACAGTCATTGCTTCTACATAATCTATCCAGACCACTCATGTCTAAGTATTGCACTTCCATTTCCAGGGCACAGGAAGATGGCGGGGCCTACCTCAAAGAGGCAGAGGAGCAGCAGGCGCCATCACCTTTCCCGCTCCAGGTTAGGAGTCCAAGTGCTGGTTCTAGAGAAACTACAATGCTGGCGACCCTTGGAGAACGCAGTCACCTTCCTAAGTCCTCACCTACAGTCATTTGGCACCCAGAACACGTGCACAGGAGCGCAGCTGCCCCCTGCACCATTTCCACTGGTGTTCTATTCAAAGACACTTGGACCAAACATGGACCTCAAAGACACATCCAGTCACTGATGTCAGGCCTCCAGCATCTATCTCAAAGAAGAGTGCCTTCAAAAGGCTTCAAAAGGATGCCAGCAAGTGTGGCTTGAATCAGCCCTCTCTTGACAACTTTCTGGTGTAACAGAACCAGAGGCCTTCTTGTATTCCAAGGACCATGGCAGTCAAAGCACAGAAGCTGAACAGTCTTTGGTCCCTATATAAACCAATGACAAAAATCCATCTGTCACCCTGGAAAACATGGCTTATTAGTTTGGGATGTAGTTCCGCCACGGTCCAGAGACCTGGCCTGGAGTCACAAAGTTTTGAACTCACAAAGTGGCTCAGGCTGACTTACTCTGGAGAGGGCTCCTCTGATGGTAAGAAGTCAAAGCCACACCAACAGGAAATGGTGAGATTTGGGGGATGGGACCCCTAGAAGAGCAGCTCCATTTCCTCAGAAATGACCCAAACTCACAGATAAGTGCTTCTTCCAGGCTGTGAGCAAAGGCTCCACTGACAGCCCACCCGGATGGAGCAGAAGGCCTGTGGTGAGAAGTCAAAAGACCTCCCTAGGACTGCACACTGGGCAGGAACTTTTCAACTGTAACTCAAAGGTGACTTTAAATCCACACTAACTAAAGAGATCTCTTCTGGGTGAAAAGAAAAAGAATAATGTTAAAGCTAGGTGAAAAAGAGGCACTTAAAGGAAAAATAGTGTTCCAAATCTCCTGCACATGTCTCCTCCCTAACAGGCCTGCAGGAGGGTCTGGCTCGCCCTCCTGCAGGCCTCCAGTATTTTGACTACCCCTACAGATACCCACAGGCTGACACTAGCAACTCCCACAACTCTTCCAGCAGTCTGAAGACAAAACAAGTGAAAACTTAGGTCACTTTCCTTCCAAACACAACAGACGAGAACTCAAAGCTCTCACAAAAGAGGCAAATGATCCTGTCTCACTCCTTCCTCCTGCTGGTTTTCAAAGGCCACTTGCTTCTTTCTTGAGGAGGATAAGCTGTGCTCTTCCCTAAGACCTTTGACCTAATGACTAGGCAATTACAGCACCGTGTACACTGAAGCAGACAGCAAGGGGGTCAGAAGCTCAGGAGGGACTCCGGGACCAACTGCTTGAGAAAATGCAAGAACGTGGTCCAGAGATTAAAAGGAAACGGCTGCTCTGATAGTCAAAGGCCATCGCCCAAGCAGAAGCTAAGCTAAGTCTGAAGGGTGCAGGTGCTACGCTCTACTCTACTGTCCTCTGACACTGACACCACACACTTAGAATCTACAGTTCCCCGTGGAGAGGTTAACGACATAGTTAAAGCCAGTAGTAAGCGCAGGGGAAGTTCACAACTGCCTAGAAAGAACTTGACGCCATACATTTAATTTGAAAGACAACAACCACGTGACGCTGACACACAAGGCCAAGTCTCAGCAGGCCAATGCTAACCACGGGGGCATCAACAGGTTGAGGGGCTCACTAATCAAACGCTGGGGAACTCTCTCCTTTCGTCAAGGTTAGGTATCTTTGCACCAAGTCAACCACTGCTGTCTGAGTCCAGCCACTCAGACACATCTCAGAAACACTAACTCAACATCCAAATTTAAGAACAACCTGCAAGATTATCCAGGTCAGTCTTCTCGATCTATCTCCCAGACCACTTGTTGCTGGCTTTTTAAACTTGGTGTTTGTTGATGATAATGCTTTAATAGGTGGTATTAGCTGACATGGTCAATATGTTTAGAATTTCTTTAAAATAAGGAAAAAACAACACACACACACAATTTATCTCTCTTGATTCCTAACATCATGAAGGTACTTTCAGATGTTCCCTCAGCTCCATCAGGAAAGAGGGAATGCATATATGGGGTGCAGACTGGGGCAGGAGGGAGGGAAGCAAAGAAGATAGCACATGAGAGAGTGAGATGTCCATAAACTTAAACCCATTCACGAAAGGCATCTGATGTATTTTCTGAATAAGGCCTTGATCAGGGTAACCAATTCTCTTTGTAGCACACTCTACACTGCCCATAAATAAAGGAGTCTCTTTAAATTAACACTTCCAGTATCAATGAACAGTCCAGAATCCTCATTTCAAGCGTTCGATGAGGTCCTGTGTTAGTCCAAGGTGCAGAAGCTGTGTTCGGGAGAGGTTTGCTAGGTTGGGGAAGGCCGCGAGCAGCTTCTCCCATGCCAGTTCCAGCAAGCTAGGTACCACCAGCCAGATCTTAAACAATGACCCAGTCCGTTTGTTTTCGTGGATGTTCACAACTCCTCCGTGAATGTACATGCAACCAGCCTATGAACAAATGGCAGTTAAAAGAAGACAAATTCAAATGGAAGAGCAAAAGCTACCAAAGCAGAGACTTCTCAGCAAAGGAAAGGGAGCAGCATAAATGGAATTAAGGTGAGAAGAAACAAAACAACCCTCAGGCTGGAACTGCAATCAGGTAGAGTACTTGTATAACCGCCAACCCCCGGTTCAACACCCAGCTCCACAGACACAGAATTTCTCAACTCATCTGAGCCTATGCAGAAACCGAAGAGTGCTTATATAATGAGTGGGTTAGTAAAGAAAAAAATAGGACTTTGGTGGGATTTTTGTTTTGTTTTTGATATAAGGCTTCATACATTGCTTAGCTGAAATCAAACTCTTAAGCTCAACTGATCTGCTTCCTGCATGGTAGAATCACCATGTCTAGTTCTATAGTTTTGTTTTCTTTTTTATATTGTGTTTTGGTTTTGTTCTTTTTTTTTTTTTGAGATAGGGTTTCTCTCTGTAGCCCTGGTTGTCCTGGAACCTGTTCTGTAGACCAGGCTAACCTTGAACTCAGAGATCTATCTGCCTGCCTCTGCCTCCCGAGTGCTGGGATTAAAGGCATGTGCCACCACTACTGCCTGGCTTTGTGTGTGTGTGTGTGTGTGTGTGTGTGTGTGTGTGTGTGTGTGTGTGTGTTTTAAACTACAAACAACTTTTTATTAACAATTAATTTTAGAGTATAATGAGTATCCAAAATATCAAATGCTGGTAATATAAAGATGAAAAACAGTATCTTTAATAATATGGTACCAAAGGATAATATTATTCTGCCCTCTTAGGAAACACCTTAGAATGGACTGTTAGGACCTAAAATAACCACATACTGAATTTCCTTTACATCTATAGTGCTCTTTTCAACCTGGATGGAGTAGTGTTTTCCTCTCCTTTTCGTAGCCCACAGTTTGTCACCATCAGCATCTTTTCTCCTTGCTAAGACTCCTCCCAACCCACTCTGTAAGAATGGTGTAACAAACTCACGGGGGTAACAGCTGCGCAGTGAAAGTAAACAGGCTCTGGCATGGTAGCAGGGAGCTTCACCCACTGGAAAGTCTGCAGACTCAGCTTCCAGATGTCTCCCAGGATCACCTCTCCATTATAGCCCCCACAAATGAAAACATCTGCCAAGAAAGGAGAAAGCCAATAGCACACAAAGGCCGTGAGCTGCAGCTACAGCATGTCTTCCGGGAGAACATATGGTTAGCTGACAGGTGGGCCATTCCTCAACAGAGCTGGGACATTTCCCTGGGACTACGGATGCCAGCCTCTAGGGAGGCTTCATGTCAGCTTCTCAAATTTAAACATTTCTTGGTTCCAGGCACCGAAAGTGAAGGAACAGGAAGCTGGAAATAAAGAAACTGAGGTCTGGGGAAAGCTCATGCTCTGAAGGAGGTTGGCCATGCAGCCCAAGGGAGACGCCCTGGAAGGAGCAGGCTAGCCACTGCTTCTCCATTTCCAAGAGAAGCTTAAAATCCCACTAGACAAGAAAACACTAATCAAAAACAAAACACAGCTACAAACCAGTCTTTCAACTCTTCTTTTGAGTAACATCTTGGAAAAAGCATGCATTTTTTTTTTATTCCTACCAACAAATATCCTCCCCATGGACATTTCACCTAGGAGAAATGCTCACTGCATTTCTGCATATGCAGAAATGGACCACAAAATATTATATACAGTCTGGACCACAAAATGGGTCCTTCCTCACAAAAAAAAAAAAAAAAAAAAAGAGATGAGCTGGATGCAGTGCCACACGCCTTTAATCCCAGTACTGGGGAGGCAGAGGCAGGTAGATCTCTGTGAGTTCCAGGACAGCCTGGTCTACAGAGTGAGTTCCAGGACAGCCAGGGCTGTTACACAGAGAAACCCTGTCTTGGAAAAACCACCATAAACAAACAAACAAACAAATAAATAGTAAGTAAATAAATATAGCCAAAGCTCATTTGATCTGTATAGCTCTGGGTGGGTTAGTTTTAACTATTGATCAACTCGTAGCAAAGACCATGTGACCTTTTAAAGGCCCAGAAGTTCCAACTGAATGATGCATGGCTCCCAGGAAGCAAATGAATAAATGGCTAAGTCAAGTTTGGACCAAGTTTAAGCCAATACTTAATTAAACTATAAAATATACCAGGAACTTTTGTTTTGGCTGGGACTCAAGAAAAACTTTAAAGAATAGCTCCATTCTCAGAGGCAAAGCAGAACAGTGTCACAACCTATAATTCTTATCCAAAAAGCAGAAGCATAATTTTTAAAAAGTCCCCGTGTGTACAAAAAATGGCAGATAAATACTACTTAAATCTGAAGTGGGATGCTAAAAGGATACAGGCTATCAAGTTCCGGCATATACCCCTTCCCAGAGGTGGGGGGGAGAGTAAGGGGTGCTCAAGGAGGTATGTCAAACTATAAAATGTCCTGTAAATCAAAAGCCAGAAATATTAGCCAAAGAAGAGTTGTTATCATGCTTCAAGTAGCTGCTACTTTCTGAAATCATACAAGGCCTTTGCTACAGGAGAACCAAGGGATGAACTCAGAGTTCTGACATCAGATAGAGAACAGAATAAACTTTATGCTATAGTATTCTGGAGAAGTTATTACAATTTTAGTACAATGTGCACCGAGGTCTATCTGTGCAAGCACTCACAGCGCTAGAACCATAAATCATGCTGGAAGATCCAATAAAAGCTTATTTATCATCAACTTCAGAGTTCTTTTAACAGAGAGAGCCCAGACACAAAACTAGTTTACATTCTGAAAACTGCCTAGAGTTCCCTTTAAGTTTAAATTACAAAATTATGCACCCCTTAGAGGAGCTAATCAGGAAATCAGTCATTCTCAGCAGGTAAGATTACAGAAATGAATCAAAATTTTAGTTAGACTCCATACCATTTTTTATTTGAACACAGCTGTGACATCTTCGGGCTGCAGGAAAACCTGTCAAACACATAAATACAGGAATTGCATTATTCAAGAAAACAACAGCTAGCCATTCCAGTTCTTCCTGATGGAGTGTCAGGGAAACAGAGAAAGGAGAAGGGATGGGGTGACAGTGTCATAGATGGGCAGATTTTAAGTTCCCATTATCTTTTCTCTTTTTCATTCTTGTGTGAGTATGTGTATATAATACATGTGTATGCCTCAAAGACCCCCGGAGAGGAACTCACAGTGCCTCAAGCTAAAGTTACAGGAGGTTGTACGGTCCTGATGTTGGGAACTGCACTCAGGTCCTCCAGAAGAGCAGTGCGAGCTCTTAACCACTAAGCATCTCTCCAGTCCCTAAGGCCCATTTCTTTTTTTTTTTTTTTTTTTTTTTGGTTTTTCGAGACAGGGTTTCTCTGTGTAGCTTTGCGCCTCTCCTGGAACTCACTTGGTAGCCCAGGCTGGCCTCGAACTCACAGAGATCCGCCTGGCTCTGCCTCCCGAGTGCTGGGATTAAAGGCGTGCGCCACCACCGCCCGGCTCCATTTCTTATCTCTCATGTGTTCTTTCGCTTGTGCCACATAACTCAGTGATCCCTATTAAAATCTCTCTGCTCAGTAGCTAAGAGAGAATAACAACTGAGTTGAAGAATAAAGGAACTTCTAACATCATTTTAATAACTATTTTATGTGCCATATCACTTAAGAAAATTACCCTTACCCCGCCCCCCCAACAAGTATAAAATACATTTGCTAAAGACATGAATCAATACTTTTAATTTACCTATTTTTTCATGAGGTTTTGTTGCGATCTCCTCCCATACATTTGTTTCAAGGTTGTATGCATGGATCTTGGAAGGAAAAAAAAAAAAGCACATATGTACAAGTAAATAGCTGTAATCTTATTACTATAAAAGCAGATTTTGAAAATGAACATTTTGAATGCAGTTTTAGAAAAAATGAAAAGAAAAGGCTAGAATGAGGAGAGAAGCGTGTGCGCATGCGTGCCTCTCAGCGCTCTGTATGCTGTGCTACTCCTCTGACATCTCCACAGTGAGCGAGAAACATTCTTGTGACGGAAAAAAGCAGCATTGGTAAGAGAATGGGACAAATCAACAAACTCCTTAAAGGTCCAAGGCAGGCCAGAAGCTCTGTCACCTGACCCAGATCTCCTCTGTGATTTCTAACTGTGACATTTTCTAAATGCCATGGGGATGGAGGACTAAAAGCCCTAAGGAGCTGGGCTCTCTGGAATCAGTAATGTACAGCCCTAAGCCTGTCTGTCCTTTTTAATGCACTGCACCAACGAGAGGGATGTGACATTCTGTGAAGACTGACTCCAACTCTAATTACTATACATTCTCTAGTTATCGTCCTCATCCACCACAATGTTCATACAGACTTTTCAGCGTGTGATAAATGTGACTATCAGCTGCAAAGCACATCAGGAGCACTGAGTTTAACCTTCTGTCACAGAGAACGCTGATCAAAAACAAGTGTATGGTGATATTTTATTTGTACTGAAATGTGATTTTATTTGTATGTTAATAAATAAAGTTGCCTGGGGGTCAGAACTAATAGCAAGCCTTAGCAGAAGCTGGGCAGTGGTGGTGCACGCCTTTAATCTCAGCACTTGGGAGGCAGAGCTAGTGTAGATCTCTGTGTGTTCAAGGATACAGCCAGCATGGAGACACACGCCTTTAATCTCAATACAAACCATAGAAGACCTGGAGGTCTGTACAGACAGGCAGTGACGAGGAGGTCATGTGATTGGGCTTACAACCAATGAGAAGGCAGAACAGAAAGTCTTTATAAAGACAGACACACAGGAAGTAGGTCTCTTTCGGAGAGGTAGGACCACCGCCACAGTGAAGGGTAAGGTTTTTAGCTCTTAGCTATTGCTCTGACCTCTTGGCTTTCATCTCTGCATTGGCTCTGTGTTTCTTACTTAATAAGACGGTTGGTTACTTCTACACAAGTGTCGAGGAAGCTGCTCAAAAATTCAAATACTAACAGAATCATCTTGATTAGTAAGATATATTCCTCTGCCTATTGTCTCCCACTACCTTTTACTTCTTTTTTTTTTTTTTTTTTTTTTTTGGTGACAGGGTTTCTCTGTGTAGCTTTGCGCCTTTCCTGGAACTCGCTTTGGAGACCAGGCTGGCCTCGAACTCACAGAGATCCGCCTGGCTCTGCCTCCGGAGTGCTGGGATTAAAGGCGTGCGCCACCACCGCCCGGCACCTTTTACTTCTTTAAGGAAAAAAAAAAAAGTACCTTGTTTAAGGAATAGGCTGTCCAGGAAGTCCCTCCTCCCAAGATGTAAATCCTCTGCCCATCATGAGCAATTTCATGTCTGTACCTGAAAATATTGAAAAATATAACTAGGTGAAAATGACCTCCCTAAGGTTTAGCTGTGAGGTTTTTATTAGCTAAATATTGCCATTATTTATGATGATAAATTATTAGAAATGACCTAAGTGTTAACTAATAGTGAACTAGTTAAATGAACTATAGAATATGCATAAAATGCATTAGTATACAATCAATAAGAAACAAAGGACGGCTAATCCATCCCAAAGTTCTGTTCATACCATTAACTGGAAAGGAAATGAGCTCCATGTGAAATAGACTGCAGCCAGTCTTAAAACTTTCAGTGTGCAGCCGGGCGGTGGTGGCGCACGCCTTTAATCCCAGCACTCCGGAGGCAGAGCCAGGCGGATCTCTGTGAGTTCGAGGCCAGCCTGGACTACCAAGTGAGTTCCAGGAAAGGCGCAAAGCTACACAGAGAAACCCTGTCTCGAAAAACCAAAAAAAAAAAAAAAAAACCTTTCAGTGTGCAAACACACAGGAAGGAAAGGGTGTTCCCATCTTAGATGGCAACCTTAGCTACCTCTAAGGTTAGTTTTATTTTTCTTTTCTTCAACTTGCTGACTTGTATTTTCTTTCTTTTTTTGTTTTTTGTTTGTTTGTTTTCGAGACAGGGTTTCTCTGTGTAGCTTTGGAGCTTGTCTTGGAACTCCTTTCATAGACCAGGCTGGCCTCAAACTCACAGAGATCCGCCTGCCTCTGCCTCCCAAGTACTGGGATTAAAAGCGTGCACCACCACCTCCCAGCAAAGAATTTTTTTGTTAATTAAAGCATTTGAAGTGGGAAGACACATCTTTAATCCAGATCTTTTTTTTTTTTTTTTTTTTTGGTTTTTCGAGACAGGGTTTCTCTGTGTAGCTTTGCGCCTCTCCTGGAACTCACTTGGTAGCCCAGGCTGGCCTCGAACTCACAGAGATCCGCCTAGCTCTGCCTCCCGAGTGCTGGGATTAAAGGCGTGCGCCACCACCGCCCGGCCTAATCCATATCTTTTGAAGTGGGAAGATCCACCTTTAATCTGGGCCATACCTTCTGTTGGCAGCCTATATAAAAGATCTGGAAGAAGGAAGTTTGATCTCTCTTTGCCTGCTTTCTCTCTTTGGAAAGTCCATTCTTTCACTGGCCTTACAGGATAAAAGACACACAGTACAAGAGGTACAAATGGAAAAACCCTAAACAGACAATAGTGTGTTTAACAATGTGTGTAGGCTTAAGAAAAGAAAAAGGGTATAGCCATAGAAAAAAATGAATAGTTTAAAAATAAAGTCTTTAAAGAGAGAAGTAAAGTAATATAAAAAAGAATAAGCCATGTCGAGAAGGGAGACACAGAGGGAGTCTGGATCTTGGGTGTCATTGTGTTGATTTTGAATGTTTTGATTGCTGACAAGCAATCAATAGCTGCCGAGAGACATGGGACTGAAGGGGGACTGATGACACACACCAGCCTAGACATTTTAGGGATGCCTTCACTTTAAAATAAAAGTCAAAAAGTATATTTGTAAAATGTAAGTTAAAAATGCTTTGTTTCCACAGGAAACAAGAGGCTGTGGATTCACTCCAGGTTAATATGGATCAGGTTTGATCAAGGGAGACCTCTGAACCTTGACAGGTAATATCTATCAACAAAGGTTACTGCTGCTGGTCTTCCCAGGACTTGATCATTATCTCAATTTTCTCAGGGACCCCTAAAGATGTCTTCACATTATTTTTGTCACACTATATATATATATATATATGTTTCTACTCTTGTTTAAGGTATTGTACCTATGCAGTTCATTTAAAAATGTAAGGCAAACTTCTAGTTTTTGAAAGCTATTATTTATAAACAATTTAGGATAATCAAGAAACATAGGCCAGGCGTGCTGGCCCACACCTTTAATTCCAGCACTCGGGAGGCAGAGCCAGGCGGATCTCTGTGAGGTCGAGGCCAGCCTGGGCTAAAGAGTTCTAGGAAAGGCACAAAGCTGTACAGAGAAACGCTGTCTCAAAAAGAAAAAAAAAAAGTTAAAATTTTTCATTTTTAATTAGACAAAAAGGGGGAAGCATAGAATAAAGATGTATTACAATTGTTTATGCTGTGGAACATTTGTTTAATGATGTAAAGATGTGTTGCATTCTTTTATGTTGCATTTGTTTTAACTCTGTGAAGCTGTATTACTGAGCCTGTCTAAAACACCTTATTGGTCTAATAAAGAGCTGAACAGCCAATAGCAAAGCAGGAGAAAGGATAAGCGGGGCTGGCAGAGACAATAAATAGGAGGAGAAATCTGGGAAGATCTGGAGTCGAGAAAAGGAGGAGGACTCCAGGGGCCAGCCACCTAGCTACAAGCAAGCCATGGAGTAAGAAGTAAAGAAAGGCATATAGGGCAGGGCGGTGGTGGCGCACGCCTTTAATCCCAGCACTCGGGAGGCAGAGCCAGGTGGATCTCTGTGAGTTCAAGGTCAGCCTGGGCTACAGAGTGAGATCCAGGACAGGCACCAAAAACTACATGGAGAAACCCTGTCTTGAAAAAAAAGTCCAGAGGCAAAAGATAGACAGGATAATTTTAAGTTAAGAAAAGCCTGGGTTGGGGATTTAGCTCAGTGCCTAGCAAGCGCAAGGCCCTGGGTTCAATCCTCAGCTCAAAAAAAAAGAAAAACCGGCTAGAAACAAGACAAGCTAAGGCCAGGCATTCATAAGAATTTGGGAGCTGCCGGGCGGTGGTGGCACATGCCTTCAATCCCAGCACTTGGGAGGCAGAGGCAGGTGGATCTCTGTGAGTTTGAGGCTAGCCTCTACAGAGCGAGTTCCAGGAAAGGCACAAAGCTACACAGAGAAACCTTGTCTCGAAAAACCAAAACAAAACAAAACAAAACAAAAAGAATTTGGGAGCTGGGTGATAGGCGCCCCCAAAAGTGCCAAAAGAATAAGAGTTTTAAAAAACAACTATAGAATCCCATGGGACTAGTTATAGATGGTTGTGAGCCACCATACAGGTGCTGGGAATTGAACTCAAGGCCTTTGGAAGAGCAGCCAGCCATCTTAACCATTGAGCCATTCTTTCAGCCCCTTAGAACTGGAATTCTTTTTTTTTTTTTTGGTTTTTCAAGACAGGGTTTCTCTGTGTAGCTTTGCGCCTTTCCTGGAACTCACTTGGTAGCCCAGGCTGGCCTCGAACTCACAGAGATCCGCCTGGCTCTGCCTCCCAAGTGCTGGGATTAAAGGCGTGCGCCACCACCGCCCGGCTAGAACTGGAATTCTTAATCCTCCTGCCTTAAGTCTTCTAGTGGCAACAATGTCCATAAAATAACTTAAAGAAGGCCACTATGTGAAAATGCTTTGTCTTTTTTTCCCTGAAAGCCCCTAGTGCTCTCAGCATAAATTATATCCAAATAACTGCATTAATAGCTACCTCCCATTTCCTCCCAGTAACTCTGCAATAGCCAGCCCACCAACATGCTACTGTAAGGATACTAGAGTACAGCAAATGCTGACATTTTGCTTAAAGGCAACAAAAGACACCCAATTAGTCTGAAGAGAGGAAATTAAAAAATATTTACTTTGTTTTTAAACTCAGGAAAATAATACTAAGTTTGTCATTAAGTTTAATTCTAAGAGGTAACTATTCCTATGGAAAGAAAGGTGAAAGATCTAAGGCCATCAGTAGAAAGCAACAGAAGAGGATGGGCGGTGGTGGGGCACACCTTTGATCCCAGCACTCGGGAGGCAGAGACAGGCAGATCTCTGTGAGTTCGAGGCCAGCCTGGGCTACAAAAAACAAAAAACAGAAAGCAGCAGGATGTTGGGATGTTTCAGAGACGGTGAGATAAAGGACTATCCCAGCTACCCTCCATCCATCATCTCTCTTCCCATCTGCCCCCCTTCCAATCCACACTCACTGACCCTCATTATGACTTTTATCGGCAACTGCTACCATTGGCTCCTTTCAAAACTACAAGCTTCTTGCTACTAAAAGACTAAAACATACAAGAGAAATAATATTTTAAAAATTCTACACTTAGAGGAAAACACTGTATTTTCACCAACAGCCCTTTCTTTACCACTGATCTGGACCCACGTGCCAGTTAACTACTTTATCAAGCGAGTTCTTTCTTCCTGGTGCCAAGATTCTGGAAAAGCTCGAATCTCAGCAAGAAAGACCACCGTGCTCAGCCCCAGCACCTCACCTCTCCTCCGGCAGGTCACAGGACAGGTTGTTTGGTTTGAGTTGTGTCCACACCATGGTATTGAGATCTAACTTGTGCAGATCTGTGCTGTAGATATAGCCAGTTGTTCCCCCAAAGACATAAAGGGAACCATTGATGAGGGCCATAGCCTGTAGAAAGGTGAATAAGAATGACTCCTTAATCCTTAACACTTTATTACAGAACATAAACTTAACAATGCCCCCAAATCATGTTGTATCAAATTCTCTTCTTCTTTTTGTTTTGTTTTGTCTTGTTTTAGTGTGTGTGTGTGTGTGTGTGTGTGTGTGTGTGTGTGTGTGTGTGTGTGTGTTTCTGTGTAGCCCTGGTTGTCCTGGAACTCACTCTGTAGCCCAGGCTGGCCTCGAACTCACAGAGATCCGCCTGCCTCTGCTTCCCAGTGCTGAGATTAAAGGCGTGTGCCACCACCGCCCGGTTTCTCTTCTTTTTAACCCTTTAAAATATGAGAATCTTGGCTAGAGACATGGCTCAGCAGCTGGAGTGCTCTCTTCTCTCCCAGAGAACTGGAATCAGGTCCCTGCACTCATGTTGGGTAGCTCACACCCACCTGTCACTCAGCTCCCTAGGCATCTGTGCACACATATCACATAATATAAAAATAAAATATCAGAGCTGATCAATGGCTCAGGAGTTAAGAGCACTTGAGTTCAGTTCCCAGTACCTACGTGGTGGTTCACAACCATCCCATAATTCCAGTTAAAGGAGACCCAACACCCGCTTCTGACCTTCATGAGCACTAAGCACACACACATGCTGGCAAAATACACATACACACAAACAAAAATCTAAAAATAAAATAAAGTATCAGACTTTGACTCAGGTATGATGGTGCTTGCTTATAATTCTAGTACTCATGAGGCTGAGGCAAGAAGATCAGAAAGAAGTCTGAGGCTAGGTTAAAGGCTCCAGAGTTGAGTTCCTGGCCAATCTGAGCTACAAAGTGAGACTTTAGAAACAAAACAAAAACCCCCAAAACCAAAAGACCCTACCAAGAATCTCAAAAATTAAAAGCTAAAGGGCTGGCAAGATGAGCCAGTGGGCAAAAGTGCCAGCCTAACTTTGAGTTCATCCCCAGAACCTGCGGCCAAGGGAGACAACCAACCACAAAGGTTGTTCTCTTTGAGCTGTGCTGCATGTGCGCGCGCACACACACACACACACACACACACACACACACACACACACACACACAAGTAATAACAAACAAAAATTCTGAAAGGTTAAAGATAAATCAGACCCTAAAGCCAGGTGTCTGACATTCGCCTATAATCCCAACTATTCATGAGGCTGAAGCCAGTCTGTGCAACATGTGAAACCTTGTTCATGAACAAATGACTAAATCTTTTTCTAGAACCTGGGGGCTGTTTTACCTTTACAAAGTAAAGCTTTGCTAGTTCTACCCAGAAAGGTATCTGTTCGGTGACTATCTTAAGAGTCAAGAATGTAGGGCCAGTGGATAGGAGCCTTTCCCCTGAAAGCCGCCTCTCACACTCCTAAGCAGCAGCAACAGATGGGAACGAGGCTAGCACTGTCCTAGAAGTTTGGAGCCCAGAGCTGACATTTCCACCAGACTCCTCTTCAGTCACTGCCACAGCTACTTCTTTTTTTTTTTTTTTTTTTTTTTTTTTTTTTTTGGTTTTTCGAGACAGGGTTTCCCTGTGTAGCTTTGCGCCTGTCCTGGAACTCACTTGGTAGCCCAGGCTGGCCTCGAACTCACAGAGATCCGCCTGGCTCTGCCTCCCGAGTGCTGGGATTAAAGGCGTGCGCCACCACCGCCCGGCTCACAGCTACTTCTTAGAGCTTGCGTGGCCTCTGCAGTCAGAGAGAGTGGTCTAGAAGAACCTTTTCGCAGTTAGAACTCAGAAGGGTTTAATCACTCCTGTGTGCAAGACAGCTGACTGAGCTTGATACTAAATGGTGGTTATTCCAAGTTCAAGCACGGGTCTCAAAAGTCTAGTTAGGGTGGGTAGCCCACTATCTTTCAGATATAACTTTACAAACCAAAGATTAAGCCAAGTGGTAGTAGCACACACCTTTTGTCCCTGCACTCAGGAGGCAGAGGCAGGTGGATCTCTGAGTTCAAGACCAGCCTGGTCTATAGAGTGAGTTCTAGGACAGCCAGTGCTACACAGAGAAACCCTGTCCTGAAAAACCAAACCAAACCAAACAAACATAAAACTAAGACCAAAGGTTAAACTGACCTACGAACAGTCTCTACATGCTTTAGTTCAGCTTTGTGTAGAGTCTCTTGATGAGCTACACTTCTTAGGAAATAAAGTTCTTCCTAGATGGCCATCATCAGAGCAGACTCAGACCATGCTAAAGCTCAGTCTTGCACTAGGGGTTGTGCAAAGAAATGTCTACGTAGATCTAGCTCCTAACCTTAAAACTGGATCAGAAGCAAACAGTGGCCCTGGGAAGATGGCTTGGGGGTAAAATGCCAGTGTGCAAGCACAAGGACCAGAGCTCCATCCCTACACTCATGAAAAACAACAAGACAAACAAACAGGAGTGGTCGGAGCCACTTGTAAAAGCAACGCTGGGGAGGCCTCAGCAGCCCCAGATCTCCCAGAGAGACTGTCTCAAAGGAGACAGAAGGTGGACACGGCTCCTAAGATCAATACCTGAGGCTGTCCCCTAGCCTACCCCCAGCAAAGAATAGTGAAAACAAGAGAGGGAGTGGTAAGATACATGAATTTACTTCCAATCTCTATTAAAATAATGGTAGCACTGTATTCTGACACTGCTGCTAGACTAGAAAAATATGAAATAAGCACAGTCCCCATTCATTAGCCATAGATTAGTACCTGTCCATATATACGACTGGGTCTCTTCCCCCGACAGCTGAGTAAAGCCCATCTCTTGTATTTCACGTTACAGACATGGACGTCATTGCCATTGCTCTCACCAAACGGGATGCCTGTACCTCCAAACACTAGCAGGTTGTTTCCATGCAGCACAACTGGGGAGGAAGAAACACACATTCCACTTATGCAATTGCTTCCTGCAGTGTGCTGACCATGAACCCAGATCATCTGAAAAGCTCAAACATGTCTACTTTAATGATCTTATTAAGACCACTCCACTGAACTACCGGATTCTTCAGAAAATGGCTTTATTTGCACTATATCGATTATCTCCCATGGTTCACTATTACATGTATGATACACAGCCAAATGCACTTATAGAATTCATTAAATAAAACTGTGCATAGCAATGTCAAGTCTACAAACTACAGAGCACCATTGCTGTTCAAGACAGCTCAAATCACAGCAAGCCAGAGGAAAACAATTTATCATCTTTGCCTTGGAAAAGAACCTGTAGGACTCAGATGGGAGAATCAAAAGGATCTTCGGTCGGAGGAATGATCTTTATATTTTATACTATGGTTTCTGTCAGTTTAATCCTCCACCAGATCAAAAGCAACATCAATATCCTGCAGACAAGTTTGGTATTCTATCTTTATCTTTTCTGTTTGCCACAATTTACAGAGTCCTCTCTTTTTCTTTCTTCCCTTCTTTATCTGCCTCTCTCATTTCAGTAGCTCCCCAACTTAGCCCACAATGTGCTAACTCATACTCCATAGTGGCTAACAGCACCGTAGCGGTCAACCGTCTGCCCTGCAGTGGTTAGTGGTCAACCGTCTGCCCCAGAGCAGTTAACAGTCAACAGTCTGCCCCCATAGCAGTTAATGGTCAACAGTCTGCCCTGCAGTGGTTAGTGGTCAACAGTCTGCCCCATAGCAGTTAACAGTCAACAGTCTGCCCCATAGCAGTTAACAGTCAACAGTCTGCCCCATAGCGGATAGTGTTCAACAGTCTGCCCTGCAGCGGTTAGAGGTCAACCGTCTGCCCCAGAGCAGTTAACAGTCAACGGTCTGCCCTACAGCGGTTAATGGTCAACAGTCTGCCCCCATAGCGGTCAACGGTCTGCCCTTCAGCGGTTAACGGTCAACAGTCTGCCCCCATAGCAGTTAGCCCTAGCGGTTAGCAGTCAACAGTCTGCCCTGTAGCTGTTAGAGGTCAACAGTCTGCCCTGCAGTGGTTAATGGTCAACAGTCTGCCCTGTAGCTGTTAGAAGTCAACAGTCTGCCCTGCAGTGGTTAATGGTCAACAGTCTGCCCTGCAGCGGTTAACGGTCAACAGTCTGCCCCCATAGCGGTCAACGGTCTGCCCTTCAGCGGATAGCGGTCAACAGTCTGCCCTGCAGTGGTTAGTGGTCAACAGTCTGCCCTGTAGCTGTTAGAGGTCAACAGTCTGCCCCCACAGCAGTCAACAGTCGGCCCCGAAGAGGTGAACAGTCTATACTGTAGTGCTGTCAAGAGTTGGATTTAATTCTAGTGTGACTTCAGGAAAACTAGTTAACCTCCCTAACTTAATCTCCACAACAACTCTATGAGGTAGGAACTGTAAATGTTATCTTCCCCTCTCCTCTGCCTCCCGTTTTGTGCTGTCTGCATCTAGGACTTGGTGCGCTCTACACTAAGCAATGAGCCCAACCTCCATTTTTAGAGACGATAAACTGAAACAGAGCAAATGTTTGTGTTTTAATTCCTCTGTTTATTTGTTTTCAGGAGATAAGATCTTGCTATGTAGCCCAGACTAGCCTGGGACTCACTGCAAAGGTCTTTCTCAGCCTCTCAAGTGCTGGGATAACAGGCATGCACCACTATGTCTGGTAAGAACAATTTAAATAACTTGCTGAGGGTTTCCTCAAGAGGGCTGGGATTCAACCCCAGGCAGTCTGGCTTCAGAGCATGCACTCTTAGCTATGATTATCAGGGCTTCTATGGAACCTTGAGTTCTTCATTTATACAATGGCAATCACTGGAGAAACTTATAGTGATGCTGTAAGGAAGTGAAGTCCTTCCCTTCCTTAATAGCTTTAACTACCATAGTTGCAACTCCAGTTTTTCATTTTGATTACATTTTCCTGTGTGTGTATATATATATGTATACACATATATATATGTATATTATATATACACATATATATATAATACTTTAAACTGAACCAGCAATCCAATATTATACAGTTAGATTCAAACCCAGGAACTCAGGGATTCCAGGTCACCACACTGTGTTATCATCACAGTGACAACACTTAATCATGTTACAATAGTATAAACTACTAACAAGGAACAAGTGACACTGAACCTGAAAGTCAAATTTTGAGAACTGCTGGCACTTACGTGACATAGATGCCAATTCCCGGGGCATGTAGCCATCTGTCCCCATCTGGTGCCATGTGCCTGTTGCAAAATGATACCTCCAAAGCTCCCTGAAGAGAGGATAGTCTTCATTATCCGGCCCTCCTGATTCATCATAGTCTGGGTTATACCCTCCAAACACATAGAGATTGGTATTATCTGCCACACAGCGATGTCCACTACGGGCTGGGGGAGGTCTGTGGCCTAAGGAAGAAGAGGACAGTTTTCCAAAAGTGGCCCACAGATGAAGAACACACAAATAATTAGTAACAACCATTTGAACCTTAAAGGGAGTCAGCAAGGATTCCTAACACAATACATGTCATTTACTTAGGTTATTTTATACACTCACACACTACTTCAGATTTTAAGAAGCTCGTCTCCATTTTTATTTCATGATTTCTAAATTTCAAAGACTAGGAGAGAGTTTTCCCAGGAGAGGTGACACAGCATGGTAAACTCAAGGAAATGGCTGACGATGTGGAATTCAAGAAAAGGAAGAAGAGAGGCCTAGTACAGATCCTGGATAGGACCCAGGACCACAGACAAAAGCAAAGCTTGGCAAACAGGAAGGAGGCAAGTTCTAGAATGGAAAGATTTTTTTCTTTATGATACAGAAATGAAACCTGCCTTGTGCATGGTTGGCAAGCACTCCACCACTGAGCTACAGACACAGACTCTTTCTAAAGTTTCAGTTACATTTACTAGCCAGGCCTGTGGCACAAGCCTGTAATCTAAGCTACTCGGGGGGCTGAGTCAGGAGAACCATAATTTCAATGCCTGCCTGGGCTCAGAGCCTAAGTTCAAGACCTAGGCAATTTAAGGATAGCCTGTCTCAAAATTAAAAAAAGAAAAAAAGACTAGTGATACAGCTCAAGTGGGTAGAGTACTTGCCTAGCATATTCAAGGCCCTTGGCTTAATCCCCAGTATACAATAAGTAAATGATTAAATTATATACATGCATATTACTTCATTCAAAATTATTTTGAGATCATTTTAAAGGGTGAAAAAAAGCCCACTATTTATATTTCTATTATCCTTACAACTTCTTATACCAGTCTACATGAACCCTTGACTAGAGAACCAAACAAGATAAAATACAATATGGACTAAGATGATACTATATTTGCTATAGTCCTAAAAACATCTCTATTTTCATGTGCTGATACTAGTATAATGTTCATTAATACTTAGGACAGGGCTAGACAATAAATATGCTTTACTAACAAGTACCTATTACCAACCTAATAAGGCCTTTCATGTCTTTTTAAGCAAAAATCCCACTTTCTAGGGTACACTTTAGAACAAAACTTGAAAAAATATGCATAGAACTAGAGCAACCAAAAAACAAACCAACAATGAATCTTAGTTCCTCTGGTCCATGTCAGTTTTGTGTACAAATCACTGATGGTTCCTTTAGTGGCCTGGGTCAACATCTCAGAGACCTCTGATGCTAAACTACTCCCTCTACTTACTCACTAGGGCTGAGTCAGCCTCACTGCTCAGCAGTCCTAGTCCTTGCTTTGATCTTGGCCTTCAAGTCTCCAGTGTAAAAACGCTCCCAAGTCTACTCTGTGCAGCCCTTTGAGGGCTCTTCTGGTTTAGCAGCCTCCTGCTCAAACATTAGGGCAGACCTAACAGTCATCAGATGGGAGCGGTGTACCTTTGTAAATACGAGTGTAATGCCAGGCAACTACAACCAGCTGGCGAATTTACAAATGAGCTGTGACTTAATGCAAGTGAAGAACTGCTTCCTTCTGGCACACTGGAAACCCAGAGAGTGTATGTGCAAGATGAGCACGGGATTCCATGACATCTAGGTTGAATCCAGGTTCTTTCAACCAATACCTTGGGCAAGCCACTGACCTTCACTAAATCTCATCTGTGCTGGGGATAGTATCACTGTCCCCCAGGTCTGTTTTTAAATGTTCACTGGCTTATGTGTGTATCTTTCCAGGTCACAGTGAGCTATTGGAGGGAAGAGAAATGTATGTGCATTCACTTTTCTCTAACTTACAGGCTCACAGAAAACACTGAACAACGTTGAGAATGAACTAGTTAGTAACTGATTCTTCTCTACTCATTTCATCTGTTTGTCTTTCTAATGCAAACAGTAAACGTTCCTCAAAGGCAAACAGCATGTATACTTGGCCTGCATCACCCACAACACCTAGAAGGCACTGCTGGAAAAACACAACACATCCTAAAGTTTCCCTGAGTTTAACTTTTGGCCAAAGTAACCAGTGACAGGAGCACTCAAAACAATGTCCATCTCTGTGTACTCTGACATGGTTTTCCCAATATATATGGCATGGAGCTCAAGGGCAGAGCAAGTGCTTAGAATGTGTGAGGCCCTGGCTTCAGTCCCCAACAGCAAAGGGAGAAGGGGAAGAAGGGGAGAGTGTGGTCTAGGGACAGGTGTTAGACTGTGGAATGATCTTTGCAAGTTATAAAGACATCTAGGAATAAGCAAGGCAAACTTAAAACAGTTGCTACGCTCAATAGACAGGAACTAAGAATCTCTAGAATGTTATTATTTTTTCATTTCCAGGAGCCATTAGATAACTTTGAGGTTTTTCACATTTGGGCAAATGTGAAAAGAATACAGTAACATTCTAGGACTTCCTCTAGACTTCAGTGGACACACAGCAGAGAACGTGATCCAAGTTTACCACAAACTATCCTTGTGATGAGAAGAATTCATGTGGATCAAATACTGAGGCAAAATGAAAAGATGATTTGACATAAAATGTATCCATTCATTCACTCTCAGCCTAAATATTACTGGGCAGCACCTGTTAACTGTTATGGTGACAGGTGTGGGCCAGTGACACTGTCAGTGGGGCTTACAGTCTAGTTCTGCCCTGCACGGCACAGTTGTTCCTGGCCACACTGGAAATGGGGCTGGGCAAAACTGGGATTTGTGTTCAAAGATTTAGCATCCCTAAAAGAATGTCAAATTACCAGTTCTATAGTCATGATGTGTTAAGATGGCATGGATTAAATAAAAATATTAACACCATGCTTTGTAGTAAGTTCACAGCTCACATGTCTATCAGACAGTGCTGGGCTAATCTACAGCTCACTTCTGTTGCTCTCGGGGTCTGTTCAAATGAAACGCCTGGGTCAAGAGCATCTGACCAGTGCCTGACAAATGCTAACCATCCTGTCAAGGGACCTTTGCAGCTAGCTGCACTGAGTACTCACTCCTTCCCACCCATTTCACTCACATATCAGAACCCATTTCATTTTTAATAAATCACAGCAATTTATCAAGGCAATGCCACAGGAACTAAGCATGAGTTTTCATCATATGGCATATAGCACAGGCTCCTCAATCTTGACAAAATGAGATTGGGTTTTAGTCTAAAGTCTCTGAATCTTCTCAAGTTTTTGGCTAATAAAATCATCTCCAGGTTTGGGTTACCTGGGTCCAGAATTCTCACTAGAAAACATGGGATCAGGGGTTCACAGAGAGCTCAGCAGTAAAGTTGTTCGCTCCCAGGCCTGAAGACCAGCATCCAATTCCCAGAATGTACATGACAGGAGGGAACTCAGTCCTGAAAGCTGTCCTCTGAACACACACACACACACACACACACACACACACACACACACACACACACACACTCTCTCTCTCTCTCTCTCTCTCTCTCTCTCTCTCTCTCATGCACGCACGCATAAAATACACATAAAATGCAAAAACTTTAAATAAAAAGGCAAATGTAGAAGTGAAAAATGGAAAATGAACCTACATGCTGAGGTGATCTAACAACCAGTAGACACATGTAGCTGTGAGACCATGGACCTGGCTTTCCTGGGTCAAGCATTTACTCTAACTCGGGATAAACAGGAGGATAGTGACTAGGGAAACGGGCTTGAATTTTAACAGAAACCAACTAGCTGTCTGAGATTATACAACAGATGATTAGGTCATTCCCAATGCTCTCATTATAACAAATAATATTGGCATAAAGTTTCTTTTACATAGTCATATAAAAATGTATGACTATATCTGGAAACAGAGCTTTTGGGTCAAAGGAACACACGTTTCAAATGTTTACAGATAAAACTATTGTAGAGCCGTACTGTTCCTCCAATAGCTGAACTGGACCAATTTATACTCCTAAATATGTGTATAAACGTGTATATTTTGTTCTTTCTTTGAGACAACGGTCTTAGGTAGCCCAGGATTACCTCAAGTTCTCTAAATAACCAAGGATGATTTGAGCTCCTGATCCTTCTACCTCTACTTCCAGAATGCTGAGACTACAGGTATGTTTGCAGTGGTGGGGATGAAACTCAGGACTTCATTCATGACAGGCAAGTATGCTACCAACTGAGCTACACACCCCTCCCAACACTGTTGTCTTTCTTGCTTCTTTTATTGAGACAGGGTCTGGGTATGCAGTCTAGGCCAGCCTTGAACTCCGTTTGTTGAGACAGGATCTCACTATATGGCATTGGCTGGCCTGAAATTCCCTATGTAGACCAAGCTGGCCTTGAACTCATAGAAACCTATCTGTCTATGCCTCTTCAGTGCAAGGATTAAAGGCATGCACCACCACATCCAGACAAGTCTGGAACTATTGATCTTCTCCCTCTGCCTCACAAGAGTACAACCCAGCAAAACATTTTTTTTTTTAAGATTTTCTATGTGTATGAGTGCCTGAATGTAAGCATACATACAATGTGCATGCCTAGTGCCTAAGGAGGTCAGAAAAGGGCATCGGATCCTCTGGAACTAGAGTTACAGACAGTTGGGAGCTGCCATGTGGGTGCTGGGAACCCAAATAGGGTCTTTATCAAGTGCTGAGGCATCTCTCCGGTCCCCCAGCAAGTAATTTTGTTTTTGTTTATCCTACTCAAGTTTTTAGCTGAAACTGAATAGACAATAGCAGAGATGATACTGAACAGTCTTTTTAAATTTAATTCAATGAGGATGCCAGTCAGATTTTACCACTAAGTATGACATTTATTTCCTCTTGGTTTCTTGTTAACGGTCTGCCAATAAAATAATCTCTAGATGTTAAGAATTTTGTCCCTAGCAGAGCAGTGGTGGTGATCCCAGCACTCAGGAGGCAGAGGCAGGCAGATCTCTGTGAGTTAGAGGTCAGCCGGGTCTACAGAGAGAATTCCAAGACAGCCAGAGCTGTTACACAGAGAAACCATCTCAAAAAAGGTTGTTCCCTATCAGCAAAGG